TTATCCTTGTCAACTAAAGGTAACTCACATTACCAGGCATTTTAGGTTAAGCTTCTTAGACCAACTTAGCTCCTTAGTCTCAAGTAAAAATAGCATTGAAGACTGTAAATGTATGCGTATAAAAAGTTTAAGCTTTTGTCTACAGAAGGTAACTCTGATTACCAGATGTTAAGGGTACACTTAAAATTGATGAGTTATTATATTAATAACTATTAATAACGGTTATCCGTGGCCTAAAGCCTGAATGAACATTAGAATCGCCGACACCGACTGGCATCCATGAAGAGAAACTCTGAATATTCAATGAATAAAAAAATTTTTAAGAGAAATTCTCATGAATTGGATGCATTTCATACTCCAGCCTTTCTGTAAATATGGAAATTAAAGAAGTATAAAAACATACAGTTTCTACTTGAAATACAATCGTTTCCTTATCATCTTAATAGTCGAAGAGATATGATCAGCTTAGGATATTAAGGAGAGAACAACTTTCTTCAACTTTATTGCATAACAAAATTCCTTAAGAGGAGGAATGGTTGTTTATTGATACTAAATTCCACCGTGGGTGTACATGAACGATCCGAAAACGGCCGTTCCAACAAAAATGTCGTGAATGCTCAAGGTTTTTTTTACCACACAAAAACAATAGACACGCTAATCTATTCTTGTCTTTACTGAGACGCCAACTTAACCAATTTTAGCGCTTAAACCAGAAAATCCAATGTGAATTGCAGTGAACGATTGATACAAAATCTAATAATAACAATTATTTTTAGTCATTCTTATTCATTATATTATTATCAAAATCTAACAACTGCAAAAATTAATCAAGTTAGCCCGATTTCAAGAGAAATGGTCGTAAGTGAAAACCGAACTTCACCCAACAAAGTTCATATTATGATCGGCATCTCCATTAATATTCTGAAATGAACGAAACTGGAAGATAAATAATATATCTAAAAATACAAGATATCTTTCATTTTCTCCTAATTTCTATTAAAAACTTAATAAATAAATGAACTGTACGGAACAAAGTCTAAAATTCCAATTAGAAAGTCGACTTTTTTTTTACTGATTCTCAACATTCAAATTGAATGCCTCAAATGCGATGATTGAATGCCCCAAGAATTTAAACTGGAGAAATAAATCATTATTTAATTTATAAGCCATTGAGCCGAAATATTAATATTAATGATCATCTACTGCAAAAATTGATATCAAAATCATGGCTCAGTAATGAAAGCTGGATAATGATTCTAAAAACTGAATGAAAAATCACCATTTTTTAACATAAATAAAGGGCGTTCGAAATTAACGATTATTGGAAGGAAGGATGTGAATGAAATCCTTCGAACCGGAGTGATCTCTGAAAAATTAATGGATCACATTGTCCACAAGCTGACGCTGACACGCACTATTGCCGGGTCAAACCGGGTCACAGGATGATCCACACAAACAAAAGTGCATCATTATTTGGACAACGTCACACTCATGTCTCTGATTGTATGCAAGAGACCATGAACCTCAAGATAACAAAATCTCTAAAGACGAAGGCTCATTTTAAACTATCAATGCTTGATGGAATAGCATGGTCAAAACATTTTACTTTCATAAAAATATGAATAGAAATATTCATACGAACGTTCTTTCTTGGATTCTGACGAGTCTAATTCCGTCATCATTTTCAAAAAATATCTAATATTTTTTCAATGAAAGTAACATAAACTTAAACTCTTAGTCCTGCACAAAACCCTTAGGCCTGCACAAATGTGTAGGCCTTGACAAGCCCCTAGGCCTGCACAAAACCCTTAGGCCTGCGCAAAACCCTTAGGCCTGCACAAAAGCGTAGGCCTTAACATAGGCCTGCACAAAAGTGTAGGCCTTAACCAGCCTGTCGAAGTCGTCCTCCCGGGCGCGCAGGTCGCGCAGGATCTCGTGCGCAGCGTGCGAGTCGCGCAGCTGCGCCAGGTAGCGCGACGACACCTGCGGTAACAGGGGCGTTATCTTCGTTATCTTAATGGTTAATGGTTAACATGGGTGTTATCTTTGTTATCTTAGTGATTAACATGGTCATATTAATGGTTAACATAGACATTATCTTCATCATCTTCATGATAAACATAGACATACGTTATCTTCGTTATGGACGTTATCTTTGTTAACTTGATGGTCAACATTACACGTTATCTTAATGGTTAACATCGACGTTGTCTTCGTTATCTTCATGATTAACATGGACATTATCTATCTTAATTATTAAAAGGGATGTTATCCTCATTATCTCAATGATAAGCATGGACGTATCTTCATTACGTATCTTATTAGTTAACATGGACGTTATCTTCAGTATCTTAATGATTAACACAGACGTTATCTTCATTATCTTCACTAACAATATAAACTACAACACTAGCAATATAATCAATAACACGAGTAATATAATCTATGGCACTAGCAATATAATGTACAACACGAGCAACATAATGTATGCCCTGACATCAGCAGGCTTGGCCGTGTGCTGGGCCAGCACCATGAGGTTGACCAGCGCGTCCGCGCAGTTCGGGTCCTTGTCCAGGGCCTCCTGCAGGGCGGCCTCGGCCTCCTCCGTCTTGCCCTGCGCAGAAATAATGTTGTTAATCAACATCAAAACCATTATTTTTATTCACATATTTAGATTAGTAAACCAATATTAATTTACAACTTTATTAATTCAATATGGCCACACTCAATGCCTGCTTCATCTTGAACAAGCCCATAACAATTTATAATTTACGAACAACATATTCCTATTTATTCAACTATAGTAATTGTATTCATTATTTAAATACGACTTTATATTAATTCAGTTGTTTAGTATAGCCACACCCTGCACCTTCTCGGTCTTGCCATGAGGAAAAACAGTAATTACTTCACAACTTAGTGAACTGCACAGACAGTGACTGGCAACTGACTGCAGAGACGAGTAGCAGTAGGTGTTACCTGGCCCACTGTAAATGTTCACAAATATAATACCTATAACATTGAACTGAGTTGAATAATTATGCATAGAGGTAAGTATTGTTCGGGTGTAAGGCAGAGAGTGAAGGAGGAGTAAGAGCACCTCACGTGACCTAGAACCATCCAGGCCCATGACCCACCTGGCCAAGAACATACCTGGCTCAGGGCCATCCAGGCCCATGACCCACCTGGCCAAGAACATACCTGGCTTAGGGCTCTCCAGGTCCATGACCCACCTGGCCAAGAACATACCTGGCTCAGGGCCATCCAGGCCCGTGATCCACCTGGCCAAAAACATACCTGGCTTAGGGCTCTCCAGGTCCATGACCCACCTGGCCAAGAACATACCTGGCTAAGGGCCATCCAGGCCCGTGACCCACCTGGCCAAGAACATACCTGGCTTAGGGCCATCCAGGCCCATGACCCACCTGGCCAAGAACATACCTGGCTTAGGGCCATCCAGGACCATGACCCACCTGGCTTAGTGCCATCCAGGCCCATGACCCACCTGGCCAATGACCCACCAGGCCCATGACCCACCTGGCCCATGACCCACCTGGCCCATGACCCACCTGGCCCAGGAAGCAGGCCGCCTGCCCCGTCAGCAGCAGGGGCGTCGAGGTGTTCTTGTCGATGAGCTCCTGGTAGACGTAGTAGGCGTCCTGTAGCTTGTCCCCGCCCTGTAACTAGTGGTAGTTAGTGACGGTAGTGAGGCAAATGGCAACTTAGTGCTGCATTATGAGCGGCATTAATGTAGTGACTGGAGACAAATGAGGCACTTAAAGTTACTATTGAAGTGACTAGTGACGCTATTGTGGCATTATTAATGACAGTAGTGAAGTGGGTATAAAATTAGTGACAATAGTGTTACATTGCTAAGACCCATAGTAATAGGTATTATGTTGTGCAGCTGATATTCAATGCGCTCCTGACATTATTGTGTTTGATGGTGAGTTTGTGAGTNTCTGCCGCCAATTCACGCTGGTTCCCCACTACCAACGTGACGCCTCTGGCAGGTCAACTTACAGAGGCAGCAGGCGCCGCAATCCCCTCTCCGACACATCTCCCATGTACACTCCGCATCAGACCAGACAGGCGGTATGGAGCTCGGGTACTTCCACCGCCACTGGCCCGGATTACCTCACCATCTGCCCTGCTTCCTCTAACCCAGACTATCGCTACAGGTTTCTTCAACCAGCCCCACCCACTCACAAGGACAATAGCAACGACACTAGACTTCAGCAAGGCATTTGACACCGTGCCTCACGCCCAGTTCATCTCTCATATCGCCTCCACTCCCCTCCACGCCAACATCACTCTCTGGCTTATTTGCTACATCAGAGGCAGGTCAGCCAGGTGCTCCAATCACAGCGGATTCTTCGCCCCAAGTTCAGTCCATTCTGCAGTCCCACAAGGCTCCGTAATCTCGCCCGTCCTCTTCAATTCCTGTGTCTCAGACTTCCCCTAGTCCACCCCTTTAGTCACCTCCTATGCGGACGATTTCACTGCCGCTGCGGGGGCCTTGTAGATCGCCGAGGCGTCTGCTGTTTTCTCTTCTCACTCTTCCGATGTAGCGGCATGGGCTCGTCGGAAGGGGTTGTCTGTACACATCCCCAAATTTCACACTACATTCATCATTCCCGACGCCCAACAATCACAAACAGATCCTCATGTCAGCTGGGAGGGGTCCGACCTTCTACTCTGTTGGACCCCTAAGACCCTCGGGGTCACTTTTGACCCCCACTTCACCTTCTTTCCATACATTGCTGCAACATGTTAGAGAGCCCGCCTGCGCCTCAACATCCTCAAATCCCTTGCCGGAACCAGCTGGGGACAGCAGAAGGAAACCCTCATAGTGACTTTCAAGACCCTTATTAAGTCTCTCATCACCTACACTGCCCCAGTGTGGTTCCCTAACGCCTCTCCTTCAGCCATCTCTAACCTATAAATCATACAGAATTTTGCACTCTGCCTAGCCAAGGGTTTTCTTCAAATGGCCACCGCATCTCACCTGCACAGCGAAGCTGAGGTCTTACCCGTGGCCGACCACCTCTCTCTACTCTGCTCATAGTAGGTACCTTGCCAGCGCCCTACAAGCACACCACCCCAACTACCCCATCGTCACCCAGAAATCAAGGCCGAATTCGTTGAAACCCACGCTTCAGACAGGCCTCCTGCCTTCAGTCCCCGCATCCGGACTCTTACTCTACTGCCCTCAGCACCCTGCACAGCTCTGATGTTTCCTCAGCCATGTCTTCAGCAGCTCCTAGCAAGGTGCTGCTGATCTCTTTACCCTCCATCTCATCCAGCAAGCAGTCCCTCCCCAGTGCGGCAAGCAACGCCCTTTCCCAGCTTCGCTCTGGTTATTCACCGCGACTCAACTCGTACCTTGCCCGCATTTGAGCAGCAAATTGCTCTCTCTGCCCTGAGTGCAGCGTAATGTATCACACCGTCCATCACCTCTTCAGCTGCCCGTCACACCCCACCTCGCTAACCCAACTGGACCACTGGACAAACCCTGGACCGACTGCGGCAGTCCACTCTTCACTTCCATCCTTCTCCGACATCCTTGAAGTGGACCCACTGCTCTCTTCCCCTCCTCCGGAGCCACCGCCTTCCTGAGGCGCCGCCATGCAGCACACCTGGGTGATAAACAACAACATGACCCACCAGGCCCATGACCCACCTGGCCCAGGAAGCAGGCCGCCTGCCCCGTCAGCAGCAGGGGCGTCGAGGTGTTCTTGTCGATGAGCTCCTGGTAGACGTAGTAGGCGTCCTGTAGCTTGTCCCCGCCCTGTAACTAGTGGTAGTTAGTGACGGTAGTGAGGCAAATGGCAACTTAGTGCTGCATTATGAGCGGCATTAATGTAGTGACTGGAGACAAATGAGGCACTTAAAGTTACTATTGAAGTGACTAGTGACGCTATTGTGGCATTATTAATGACAGTAGTGAAGTGGGTATAAAATTAGTGACAATAGTGTTACATTGCTAAGACCCATAGTAATAGGTATTATGTTGTGCAGCTGATATTCAATGCGCTCCTGACATTATTGTGTTTGATGGTGAGTTTGTGAGTTGAGTTAAGAAACAACATGTGAACAAGAAGTTCCGAAAATTTCATTATAAAAAGAAGATCTCATATACTTCACAAGAGTTGATTGATACGTATTGAAAATATCAAACAACTGTGTTATTGACATGGACTGAATCACTGAACCCAGACTGACTTCAAAGCCATGTGATTCAACACAATTCTTCATATCAAGCACTTCTCATATCGTAAATTTGTCAACTGTCTCTAAATATAAAATTTGCAACTAATACCTATGTATTTACTTATGGGCACCAGAAAGATAAAAATTATATTATTGAGATAATTTTACAGAACAGACAAATTAATTCCATGAATATACAATCAATAATACTATGTGTTCCTGAAGGCCTAATAGTAATATGAGTAACCTTCAATAGACAAGAGATTAAATGCAAAAAGTTGTACGACAGTTTTTGGCTGCCCATTTACTGCAACGTATTGCTATAATAATGAATTTTTCATCAAAGCCACGTGTTTCTACGACAGTTTTTAGCAATCAATTTATTAAAGCAGATGGATGAAAAATTAATTTTCACAGAATCCACATGTATCCAAGCCTGAGTAAGTGTGGTGACATTTTAAAACCCCTAATCAAATTTAGTACTTCAATTTGCAATGTTTCTGAATCAACTAATCAAAATTACTTAAATTTATTGCACCATCTCAGCATGACTGCAAAATATAACAATATCTGAGAATTTCCTGGGAAAAAAAATCATGAGAATGCGTAATCAAAATGACCAGAATTTTCAAATTGTTTAGAACCGGAAACCTCAAATGCATGGTATAGGGTTTCATTTTTGTCTCAATCACTAAAATTTAATTCCATGATTATTGTGGAGAAAATTTGTTCTTGCCTCCATAATGTCGATATTATTTTAAATATTAGGCTCATAATAATTATAATATAATAATGTAGCGGTTTAAGTTTTTATTAGGCCGTAGGCCTGTCACAGATTCTTAACATTGCAGAACATTCACAGCAAGTTCCGGGCTTGGACTCGCAACTCACTGCTTCAAATTTTCTTTACTTAATTAACCGCCCGGCCTCCTCGCGGATTCTGACCAGAAACTGGCGCACAGAGCTGGGATCGATCCCGCACCTCTCTGTGCCAATCTTGGTACTCTGGGCCTATACTTTCAATAAAAGTTAAGAGATCGCAAGTTCATCAGCCAATCATTGACGGCCTTTCAAGCAAAATCCACCAATCACAGACAAGAAAATAGTGCGTAAGTACTTACGTTCACTTAGCAAGTTTTGAAAGTATGGCCCCTGAACTGTAACCACTGGGCCACCCTGCCATCATCTCATGTCATACTAAACTTGAAGATAAATTGCTTACATTTCCAAGTTTTGCTATAATAATCAGACATATATAGCAATTGAGAACCTATTTCTACCAACATTATAGATGAAATTCAATCTAAATTACATTTGAGTGTTGAGTAAATAAAGATTATTAATAGTGAAGTGAGAGTTCAACGACTATTAATAATTAGTGAACTGAGAGTTAAGTGAGGATTAATAATAGTGAATTGAGAGTTAAATGAGGATTAATAACAGTGAACTAAGAGTTAAATGAGGATTAATAATAGTACCGATACTAGTGAAGTGAGAGTTTAACAACAATTAATAATAGTGAACTGAGAGTTAAATGAGGATTAATGATTGTGACCTGAGTTAAACAAGAATTAATAACAGTGAACTGAGAATTAAACAAGGGTTTATGTTAGTGAACTGAGAGTTAAATGAAGATTAATAATAGTGAACTGAAAGTTTAACGAGGATTAATAATAGTGAAGTGAAAGTTAAATGTGGATTAATAATAGTGAACCGAGAGTTAAAAGAAGAATTAATAATAGTGAAGTGAAAGTTAAATGAGGATTAATAATAGTAAACCGAGAGCTAATGAGGATTAATAATAGTGAACTGAGAGTTAAATGAGGATTAATAATGGTAAACTGAGAGTTACGTAATAAGGATTAATACCTATGTAATTTGGGTATGGCTTGACACGCTTAAACAAATTTTTTCGCCCTTTTTGGTTACCATTACATTTAATTTTCTCCATTACCATTACATTAAATTAAATAAAATAATTTTAATGATATACTGAGAAGTAAATGAGAAGTAATAATAGTGAACTGAGAGTTAAATGAGGATTAATAATAATAGTTAACTGAGAGTTAATAAGGATTAATAATAGTGAACTGAGAGTTAATAAGGATAATAATGGTAAACTGAGAGTTAAACAAGGATTAATAATAGTGAACTGCAGGATTGCTGCTCACCACTCCAGAGTGTCGTGCTGGTTGAGGATCCTTAAAGCTGCCTCGTAATTGTCCAAGTGGCAATAGACAGTGGCAGCAGCAATGGCAATTGTCACACTGCCAGGGTCGAGGCTGCTGCTTGCCACCAGACTTTCCAACTCAGGCACAATACTTGACCTGAAAATAAATACTTTCAATATCATGATGCATGGTACCATTTTTTAGTGCATTTTCTCATTTATGGAAAAATGGCGCTATTGTGCTCATCATGTCCGTCCGTCCGTCTGTCTGTCCATAAGTTACTTCATGTTTTCGTCGACAAGAAAACACGCTCTCTGTCACTCACTGCAGTGAGTGCTGAGTTATATTTTTTTTTACATGTTTAGGATCTCTATCCTTTCTGATGAGAAAATAAAAGTAAATAAAACTAAGCTTTATAATGTGATGCAGAATCTTGTTGAAATTTAATTTAACAATATTAAAAATAATAATCAATGCACCATTCAGTCATGGCAATGCTATGGAACACAAGCCTGCAATATATATAAACATTTCATCACACACATATATATATATTGAATACAATACAATTTTGGCTTAAATTGTATGGATAGCTAAATTACAAACTTATTACAAATTTATCATTCAGAACAGTTGTTTGATCAGTATGGTGTGTTATTTTGCATTCATAATGATTACATATTAAAATTAATTCATTCTGTCATGCTACATGCTAAATGAATAGGTAGAGAAGTTGACAAAGGCAATGGTAGTAATTAGTCGGTGAGGATACCTACAATGTTTCAATGTATTTCATTAAAAGGAAGTACATTCATTGAAGTACATTCATTCAATGTACTTCATGTAAAATCTATTGCCCACATTTTAGTATCTAAATAATGACATCACTAATTTCAAGCAAGCATTCATTTTGTCCCAAGTTCATTGATTTCACCTCATTTTTTTTTTTTTTGACAATTTCATTTGTTAGTCTTATTGTACAACAAAAATAAGCACTACATCTGCCAGAGCAAACTCGGCTTCATGCAACGACATCCAGTGCAATAAAATTCAAAGGTTAAAATAAACAGTTACAATTATCTTGTCACCCTATAGTTTTACTGGTATTTATTTGCACACTATTTTCTAATGGTAGGTGGATCTTTTTATATCATTACAATTTTTAAAATGATAAGCAGGTATGGTGTATATATTCTGGAGCATAAATTTTGAAAAAATTCTCCACCTTATGTCAAGTCAGTTCTGGATAATCTATGACAAATTAATGGTGCAAATCGCAGCATCCTCTCAAGGTTGCAGCAACTGCATCTGTCATCACAAATGTTGTTCGTTACAAGCAAAATCAATTTTTCCATGTGTGATAACTTGGGAAGTACTGTAACTCCAGTGCCATCAGTGTTTCTACATATCAATGAATATTGAAGAAAACGTAGGTACTTCTGTAGTATGTGTACATAATATATATGGTACTACGTAGTATATATAAACACACATACAAAGAAGTTTGAATGTTTTGGTTACATGCCAGATGAGAGGAGTGTTAAATTAAACTGTTCTCAATAGGAAATATGATGAGTAAATACATACAATGATATGGCAAGAAGACAGTTTACATTATTAAGAAAAAACTCATAAAACTACAATAAAAAGATAGGTATATATACATATTGAGTATGAATACCGTAGAGTTAAAATAAACATTATCCACATCAAAAGACAGAAAAATTCAACAACTGCTGGATTTGAGTTGAACATTAATAAGCATAAAACTCACTCTTGTTGAGCATCTTGTAGGAACTGTGCTAGTAATTTAATAGCCTGGAGTGAAGGGACAGCATTGGACTTGATTTGACTCTGCACAACTCCATATTTGCGCTGGCCGAGCAGTGCTCTGTACAAGTAGGCATCCCGCTCAGCTCTTGCAGTGTCGTCTCGAGGCTGAAACATACAGCAGTCAGTACTATGAATGTGTATGATTAACATGCAGCATTTGCTACATTTGTAGTGTGCAACAAGTTTGGTGTTTATATCTAATTGTGCAATGTTTGCAAAGTTTTGACTTCTGCTGAATATAGAAATTCAAATGTTAATCCAAAAGTTTCTAATTTTGAAATTTTGTGAAGGTATATGTAGAAAGGTTAATAATTTTTATGGGTTTATGCACATGAAATACAGAGGTCAGACAAAATAAGGGAAACCCTTTTTTGTCAGAAATACCTACAGGGGGTTAAACAAATACCAACAATTTGGCCTCTTTGAAAGTCAGAGAGGTTTGCCATTTATAGGTAAAGGTTATAAACACAAAAATTTACTGAAAATACCTGTGCAAGGATAAAATATCAATTAGCAGCAACCATAAACAATAAAACATAAAAATGTGTGACATTTTCATTGTTTATAACATGTTCAAAAATTATGATACCAAAATGTCAGACATTTCCCTTAATTTGTCCAACCCCTGTACTACGTATATCTCCTTTCTGGGTCTTGACAAAAGATTATCTGCCATTACTGGAGAAACAAGATACCAGCTAGATGAATTATTTTTGAACTAATTACTGAGAAAAGTACACAGTCAAGCACAATCTACAAACTTTGAAAATTTGAAGGCAAAAATTGTTCTATTCAGGGTTGGCGATTTTTTTGATTTTTTAAAAAAAATCAAAAAAATCAAAAATCAATGATTTTTTTTATTTTTTCATGATTTTTTTTATTTATTTGAATACATCGTCTGCACTGAAAGAGAAGGACTTCAGAGTACTGTTAGTAATGGATGAGTACGCTCTGCATGCTTCAAATGTTTTGAAATGAAGTTTTATTCCCATTGTCCTGAGTGAGTAGCCCTGACCAACGGGGCTACTCCGAACAATCTTTATTTTGCGTCTGGCACCTTAGGAATACCGGTAGCATATGGAATTTTTTTGACAATGCCATTCGATAGCCTTGGCAAAGAGCTATAAAATGAGCTTAAATTTGTTTATGAAATGTTTCATCTTAAGAAGTTATTAACAGTTATTAACAAAAAAACGATCAAATCTGTCCTAAGTAGCCCTGGTTGACGGTATCTCCTTTCTGGGTCTTGAAACGAGATTATTTGCCATTACTGGAGCAAAAAGATACCAGCTAGATGAATTATTTGTGAACTAATTACTGAGAATAGTACACAGTCAAGCACATTCTACAAACTTTGAAAAATTGACTGCAAAAATTGTTCTATTCTTCTTAATTTCCAATAAAAAATTGAACAATGACCATAAAAATATTTAGGTGACTTTGTCCTTGAGCAGAGCAAACTGGACAAAGATTTTCTTTACTAGACTTGCCTGCAGATGCCTGCTCACTTTTGTGGTGAATATAATTCTAAGAATGTTAGATATTAGATTCAGGACCAATCCAGCCTGCAAGCCAGGTATCTTGGTCAATTCTAAATTACCAACTGCATATAAAACTCAAGCCCCATGAGATTCTAGTCAAATGATTTTTTTTTTTTTTGTCATCTTACAATAACACTGATTTAATAATTTCCACCAAGGATGACTAATGTTCTGGATTTGACTATGGCTTCATTTGATGTAGAGAATTTGTTTACAAATATAGTACCTTGCCATGAGAGTATTAATACTTGCCTAAATTCATTGTTCAAAGAGATTAATGACATTGTTATGGGTGTGAACCACAAATTTTTTAAATCTCTTGAATTGTCAGTTCTAAACTGACAATTCAATTCAATTTAAAATTCTTGTTTCACATTTGCTGGCAAATTTTACAGACAAATTGATGGCTTGGGCATGGGTCTCCCACTACCGTCAACCGGGGCTACTTGGGATGATTTCGAACGTTTTTCATTCATAACTTCTTACCATGAAACATTTCATAACTTCTTAACCATTTCATAACTTCTAACCATGAAACAATGAAAAGTAATTGACCTAAACTATGATTTATTTCTCCAAAACATATGATGGTTGTCACTAAAACATTCCTTTCTGTTTCAGGTATGTTTTTCACAATCTTTTTTTTTTAGTAAATTTACTTAACCCAATCAAAATGTTGTGAAATTACAAGCCATCTTGTAAGCTTACAGATACAGAAAAAATGCTATAAGGCTGCTGATATGAAGCTTGCAGTGGACAAGGTTGTTGTAAATGCTCAATGGCATGTTCATGGATACGGTAATATCGCATCAATAATACGGTAATTAATGTATATGGTAATATCATATCAATAAAGGAAAAACAAGTAAAAATCACAGAAAATGTCATTTATTCTACCTCTACATCATCTACAAAGAAAGAGGAGGACTTTAGAGTACTGTTAGTAATGGATGAGAGCACTCGGCATGCTTCAAATGTTTTAAAATGAAGTTTTATTCCAAGTGTCCCAAGTAGCCCCGTTCGACGGGGCTACTCAGGACGCTCTTTTTTTGCTTCTGGCACCTTACATATAGCATATGGAATTTTTTGGAGAGGCCATGTGATAGCCCTTGCAAAGAGCTTTGAAATGGTTTGATACTTTTATTATGGTTTGATACTTTTAAATACGTCTGTGAATATATTAGGAATCCTTCATTTATACCTACTTGTATTTGCTGATTTCAAGTGGTAAAAAAATTAATAGATGATTAAGTTAAGAGACGGTTTTAGACACATAAAAACTAATTCCGACACAGCTTAGAATTAGACACACACAGCTGTGTGCAAAAATTAAAATTTTCTTCATTAAAAGCTTAATAGCTCTTAAATTAATAGCCTAAATAAGTGGTATACAATATTCAATAGTATTTAATTCCAAGCTGTGTCATATTCCAATACGAATACAGCTCATACGGAGATCGGAATTTGAACACAAGAGTGTCGGCATTACAAATTAGTAGAGTTTGAAGCATGGCCGGAATTAGTCTCACAAAATGCCAAATTTAGTCATACTGACTCACACAGTGTCGGAATATATGGATTTGGTAGGTTTGCATTCTAAAGGCTTTTAAATAAATATGGCAACATTTTGTGACATTTCATTGTTTCTGGCGCGTAGTGCGGCGTTTTGAGAGCAACATAAAGCAAGCAGAACTTGAGTTGCGCATATGGCATAGTGGCAAACATAGCGGCAAACCAGTGATTTTTTAGAATCAGTTCATTTTTGATTTTCTCTTTTACCCAAGATTTAAGGCATTATTTTATGTATGATGATGCTGGTATCCATGATACTTTTCTGGTCTACTTATAGGACTTGAAATTGAACTTGAAGGAGAATTTAAAAAAACTCTCTGCTTTGCCGGCGTATGGTGTATTTTTTATAGCCATTCATTTTTTGCTACGTCCTTAAAGTGTCGGAATATACTGCATTTACCCTAGTTGTAAATTTTTAATTGAATAAATTTAAAACTATGGAATGTGAAGTGGCTAACCATTATTAATTTATTTTATTTAAAGAAGTTTTAGGTCTAGTTACAAAATATGATCTGAATTCAAGTATTTGAATGTGTCTAAAAATGAGTACCCGGTAGGGTAAACGCGGTATATTCCGACATCGTGGGTAATTCTGNGCAAGCTGCGTAAGTGTGGCATCATCGTCCTTCTCCTGCATCGTCTTGAGCTCCTTGCGTGCAGCGTCAAGCCGATGCATGGCTAGGTAGCAGTGCACCATCTCAGCACGACTGACAAATAAGATACAAACTTGAAATTCCTTGGTGAAGTGTTTTAAATCTTTTTAAAACAACAAATCAAATTTATGTTAATTTGTAATGTTTTTGAATAAACTACTGTAGGTATATTTAAAATTACTTAAATTTATTGCACCATCTCAGCACGACTGCAAAAATGAAATATCAAATTAAAATTCCATGAAGAATTATTTTAAATCTTCTTAAGACAAGAAAGCCAATTTAGTTCAACATGAATGCTTTTTGATCAACTAATCAGAATTAATTAAATTTATTGCACCATCTGAGCACGAGTGAAAAATAAAACTTAAAGTAAACTTAAAGTTTCTTGGAGAATTCTTTTAAATCTTTTAAAACAACCAATCAAATTTACTTAATGCAAGCATCAACTAATCAAAACAACTTGAATTTATTACAACATCTCAGCATGACTGCAAAATAAAATACAAACTTAAAATTCCTTGGTGAAGCGTTTTAAATCTTTTTAAAACAACAAATCAAATTTATGTTAATTTGTAATGTTTTTGAATAAACTAGTATCCAAAATTACTTGAATTTATCGCACCATCTCAGTGCAATTGTGAAAAAAAACACCAACTTAGAAGTCCTAGGCGTACGGTACGGTAGTATCTGAAATCATTTTAAAACCCCTAATCAAATTTAGTACTTCAATTTGCAATGTTTCTGAATCAACTAATCAAAATTACTTAAATTTATTGCACCATCTCAGCATGACTGCAAAATATAACAATATCTGAGAATTTCCTGGGAAAAAAAATCATGAGAATGCGTAATCAAAATGACCAGAATTTTCAAATTGTTTAGAACCGGAAACCTCAAATGCATGGTATAGGGTCTGTCTCTTATACACATCTAGATGTGTATAAGAGACAGCGTCTCATACCGTAAATTTGTTCACTGTCTCTAAATATAAAATTTGCAACTAATAGGTAGGTATGTATTACTGATGAGGTCCATAAAGATAATATCCTTCTAGGTAGATAAATACCACTTACATCAGTTAAAAAAGCATAGAAAACGTGCAACGAATTGAAATAAAATTGATGATATTATTGAGATAATTAAAACAGGAAAACAGAGAAATTAATTCCATGAATTTACCATCAATACAACTTAAAACAATTTATTTCTGAAGGCTTAATAATATGAGTAACCTTCAATAGACAAGAGATTAAATGCAAAAAGTTGTACGACAGTTTTTGGCTGCCCATTTACTGCAACGTATTGCTATAATAATGAATTTTTCATCAAAGCCACG